CCCCCGGCCTCCAGCGTCTGCGCCTCGTGGTGCCCCGGCGAGCCGAGGAACGGGGAAGACCGAGAATATCTCATCCCCCCGCCACGTTCCCCTCGGGACAGGGTGCCTAACTCACGCACGGCCAGTGACAAAAACAGGCAGGCGAAAAAAAACCTTCCACAAGTGACTTGCGATGCGGCATTGCTACGGGTTGAAAAATCATAGAATGCTTTGGGTTGGGAGGGACCTTTGGAGGTCACCTAGCCCACCCCCCCTGCAGTGAGCAGGGACAGCTTTAACCAGATCAGGTTGCTCAGAGCCCCAGCCAACCTGACCTTGAATGTTGCCAGGGATGGGGCCTCCACCACGTCTCTGGGCAACCTGTTCCAGTGCTTCACCACCCTCAAAAAAATGATTACGGGATAAACAAAACCAAGGAAACGCCTCACCTTTGGCCTATGAATAAAATTCATTTTATTCACCTATTGCCCATGAATAAAATATTAAGAGTTCCTGCGTAAACACGTAATAACCATAAATGTATATTCCACTTTTCTTGACCCTGGTTCTTTCTCAAGAGAAGATACCACTGAAAGCAACCAGTTACGAAACATAATCCTTATGTCCACTGTGATATTAATATGTTTGAAATGTAGAATCTAGAAAGATGAAGAGTTTCCCAAAATGTAAATAAATCTAACAGTTTTGAAATGCTACAATGGATTGGAGATGATGCAGGGAGAAATGCTGGCTCAAATGAACCGGAAAGAAAAGAGAAGCAGGGGATAGAAAGTAAAAAGGAGAAAAAGGAGGACATGTCGGTAAAAATGTGAGGAAAAGAGAATGAATAAAAAGACTTCAAATTATTTCTCAAAGACATTTTGCTCCATCATCCGTATGGACTAAGGGCACACATCAAGTTACTGCAGGTCATATGATACGTGGAAACTCATCAAACCTCTGTAAAGTTGCTTCGGCTTGTTGGCTCCCATCGTACAAAGTGGGAGAAATTTCACAGCACCCCGCATATTTCCTCCGAAGCAACTGGGGCAGATTCTGGAGTGAAATGACTGGATGAACAGACTCTGGTTAACTGGAAACGTACGGTCCCTGTAACACCTTAGCATAGCTTCATTTTCTGACCTCTTCACCATTCTGCCATCTGATTCCTTATCTTTTCCCTGTGTTATGGATCATTTATCCCCCCTTCTACATTAAGCCTTTCATTATCTTTGAGAAATTAACAGATCTTTTTTCTTATTCTTGCACTTGGCTGTTCTGCAGATATTGAAGATACAGGAATGAAAAGAAGTGAACGAAGGAGAAGGCACAAAAGAAACTTCTTGTGGAGCTGATGAAGGTCAGATCCAATCACACTGCAGTTTGGACCTTTTATGGGAAAAACTAATTCAATGCATTGTAGAGCTATACAAAAACAAGATAGGAAGACGGCTGGATAACAGCTATGGTGGCCAAACCTAGTACACGTACCAAGAAGAGCATGCACTCTCAGATCAAATCTCTGATTATAATCAGATCAGTTTTTATACAGTCTACAACATTCCAGTCTTCATTTTCATTGCACTAAGTCACGAGCCTGAAAGATTGATCACTTTGTAACGTGTTCTTAGTCAACCGAAACAGAGGTACCGTTGAGATGCTGTAACGACAAAGTCTTTTTCTGTCTCAGCAATGACGTAACAGATCCCTCAATGGATCACTTGTTTAACCATGGTTACTACAAAATGAATGCATGAGAAGTTTCTCTAGTATAGCGTAAGTAGGGGGTGGGAGAGTACGGGGAGTACCTGTTAGCCCCGTCCTAGCTACAGCAGTTCTGGCAGAGAGGACTGCACAGTCCTGGGGAGCAACTGAGCTCGCGCAGCGAGGAGAAGCTGTTTGCAGGAGAGCTCAGCAAGCAGGAGACTTGGAAGAATGGGGAGCAGCCCCATAGCCAGATTTCTGCAGGGACAGAAAAGACAATTTTTCCTAGACTTCCAGGGCAGATTTTAGAATCATAGAATCATAGAATCGTTTAGGTTGGAAAAGACCTTTAAGATCATCCAGTCCAACCATTAACCCACACTACCAAGTCTACTCTAAGCCAATCAAGGGTAGACTAGACTAAACCATGTCCCCAAGTGCCACATCTACCCGTTTTTTGAACACTTCCAGGGATGGTGACTCTACCACCTCTCTGGGCAGCCTGTTCCAATTCTTGACCACCCTTTCCGTAAAGACATTTTTCCTAATTTCCAACCTAAACCTCCCCTGGCGCAGCTTAAGCCCACCATTTTGTAGGTGTTGAATCCAGGCAGCCAGGGCCAAATCGCTTGACCAAGAGGGAGCCTGAAGGAGAGATACCGCCATGAAATGACACAGGGATCACAAGGAAATCTGTGTATAAACACATGCATCTATTCTTTCCTATCTATCTTTTATATCTATTATCTCGTTCAGAATATTCTGTTTTAGAAAGTTCGTCATTCCAGTTTATGATCTCCTAAAACTGGTTTAAGAACTCATTTTTTTCTTTCCTTTAAAAAAAAAATCTCATTATAAAAGATTTACCCAAGATCAGAGAAGTGCCTTGGAGAAGGGCAGGAACCACACCACCATTTCATGTCAGTCTTAAAAAAACCCACAAAAACTCAAAGTCAACTGGAGAGTAAGCATAGTGTTCTCTCTAAAGCAACTGTATTTATTTTTATGAAAGGAATTTGTTCTGGTTTTTGTAAAAATTTAATACGTATTCCTGGAAATTATTAACTTGCTAGCCATGAGACTATTTCAGTAACAAGGATAAAAATCAATGAACCCAGCAAATACATTTTAAAATCTTAGCAAATATCTGTCACATTGCTTCACGCTTTTACAACTTTAACACTCTCTTTATGGTTTTTGGTGGGTTAACTCTGATCTTACATTAATTTTAAAATAATGTAATTATATGCACTTTGATGGAGTTAAATCTAGCTTGCATAACCTAAAATAAATCTGATTAAAACAAGCCCAGTGTCTATTTCCTCTTTATAGCAATAGACCTATCTTTTAATCTACGATTGAAACAGTCATGCTTGACAAGTGATGACTCTTTGACAAGCATTATGCTTGCTTTAGCACAAAAATAGATTTCAAAAAAGAATAATGGGGTAATAAAGTAAATTTGAATCTTGTCTACTTTTTAATAATTTTGACTTATACACCTGCACAGTCTGTTCTGCCCTGTTTCAGCTCTGACGATTCTATATAATCAAACTACAACTTAAGAGCCTTTTTCAAAGTCAAAGGTAATGTTTATTAACATGAATGAGGAATACATAATAAAAATATAAGCAGCTTAATAATATGTAATCAAAATAATCAGTACAGTAAGTATATTTAAAGGGTGTACACTAAAGACTTTCATTCCCAGGTGAATACTTCACATTTCCATAAAAATCAAAGTTGTATTCTTTCAGGGATGATTTCCTCACCCGGAGCCTTTGCTGACTGTTTCTTTCTTTTCTTCTTGATTTTTATTAATCTTCTTTCGCCTTTTTTTTTATTGAATCCTAAAGGTAAAATGAAGTAATATTAGATGGTGTATGACTAACACATCCAAGATTATCAGAAACAAGAGATAAGTCTTTTTTTTCAGGAAATATTCTCAAAAAGAAGAAAAAAAGAACATTGTCTTACCTAAAGTCTTCATATGCCTGACCAATGCCAAGTTGTCTTATTTCTGTTCTTGTACACTGTATTTTACTGTCCATCTTTCTCTCTCTAGCTCTGTCACTCTTCTGATTTCCATTTTCACTTTTCTAAGACTTTCAACTCTTACATTTTATCAGGCCAATACTGACTACCAAGAGTTGCAAGAATGTTTCAGCCTGCATAATATTTATCTCTTATGATAGTCTGTGGCAGTATCACTTCCCATACCTTTCTTGCAGATCCTCAAACATGACTTTCTGGAGGTGAAATTATTTTCATTCCCACCACATCCACTGTAGCTAAACGGGCGACATCTTCCAGTGGAGTAGTTGTAGAAATATCTTAACTCTTTGGCTCTGCAAAGTCCTCTGTCCATAGGGGTCATGCACAAAGAAGGGATAGGAGGTGGTTCTAGAAATACCAAGAAAAACAAGGTCAGAGACAACGCTGCAGTTTACCAGTTTCCTGTTATATTGATATTATAGATGAGATTTGAAGGTCACGGAACTTTGAAATGTACATGAAATTTACTGGAAAATTTAATTCTGCCCTCCTGAAAATCCACGATACTTTACATAAGCATCTGTCTTTTTATGATTACAAAAAATACTACAGCAAATGTTATTCTCTTTTTGAATTCCAAAAGCCAGCAAAAGCTTACCTGAAAGCAAGGTTTGTTTCCTATATATTTAGTGATAAAATTGCCATGTCTGTGATGATAGGAGATAGTATTCAAATTCAATTAGAGAAGTTTCAAGTGAAGTATTTGTAGGAAGTGAAGTGAAATGAATTAAACTTGGACAGCTTTAAAAACATGGTAAATGTTTATGATAATGAATGAAGTGAATTTTCCTAATTACTGCTAGACATTCTGAAATCAAATAGAAGGTAAAAGTACCCCACACTTCCAATGTAAGATTCAATATCTTAATATTAGGTTTGTCATATGAATAGAGAAAGCTTGACCTAAGTAGTTGTTGTGGTTTAACCCCAGCTGGCAGTTGCACCACACAGCCACGTGCTCACTTTCCCCCAGTGGGATGGGGGAAAGAATCGGAAGGGTAAAAGTGAAAACACTCGTGGGTTGAGATAAAGACAGTTTAATAGGTAAAGCAAAAGCTGCACACGCAAGCAAAGCAAACCAAGGAATTCATTCACTACTTCCCATTGGCAGGCAGGTGTTCAGCCATCTCCAGGAAAGCAGGGCTCCATCACGCGTAATGGTTACTTGGGAAGACAAAACGCCATCACTCCAAATGTCCCCCCTTTCCTTTTTCTTCCCCCAGCTTTTCATGTTGAGCGTGATGTCACATGGTGTGGAATATCCCGTTGGTCAGTTGGGGTCAGCTGTACCGGCTGTGTCCCCTCCCAACTTCTTGTGCACCCCCAGCCTACTCACTGGTGGGGTGGGGTGAGAAGCAGAAAAGGCCTTGACGTTGTGTAAGTACTGCTCAGCAATAAGGAAAATATCCCTGTGTTATCAATGGTGTTTTCAGCACAAATCCAAAACACAGCTCCATACTAGCTGCTATGAAGAAAATTAACTCTATCCCAGCCAAAACAAGCACAGTAATTGAAGTTGATCTATTGGAAAAAACTGAGCAGTTATCAAGAAATAACTTGTAACTCACAGAATAACAAAGGACTGAACGTGAAGAATAAGTGCACAAAGTGACTGAGAAGCTGGTGCTTTAGTGTTGCTGTTAGATTTTTACCATTCCAAGAAGTAGGCTGATGGTTTGCTTCTTCAGTGTTGCTGCAAGTGACAGTTGAGAACTGAAACACTGGAAGATGAACTTGAGGTATCTGAAGTACCTGGGCACTGGAACAAGTTCAAGAAGCAAATCCGTGCCAGAATTCCCAAACCTGGAGAAACTCCATCATCTATCACCCTGGAGCGACTCATACAAAAAATCAGAACTGACATGATTTGCTGCACAAGATACAAGAAACTGAATGGGAGGCATTATATCATCAGTTATGAGGGACTCAAAGGAGCGGCCTTTTCCTTCAAGAAGTAGTAGAATTGGGATAGCTGAGATCTGAATGCATAAATGGAAATGCGAAACTAGTCAGATGGCCGCCTTGAAGTTACAAAGCCAGGTAGAAAAAGTTCAGAGGAAAAAACAAGTAAAAATTTTAGGGAATAATTTGGGTTACAACAGAGCTGAAGACATCCTGTAGTTACAAAAGTGGGAAGCAGATGAGTTGCTGAAAGCAAGAAGTTATGAACTAACTTGGGCAATTCAAGAGGCTGACAAGAAAATATCCAAAAAGAACATGCTACATCTTACTTTTCTTACACATATTACACCTGCTGAATAAGGCTCATCTGCCACGTATAATAGGTGAACTGGCATGGTGAAGAAGTATGAAAAATTGCTGGGAACAAAATAGAATGGTGATTTATGGAAAGCTAAGACGGCAAAATGAAATTAATAATATATTTGAAGCTATGTTAGCAGCATGATACTACTCAAAAAGAATCCTGAAATGCAAAAACTGAGTCATGAGTTGGTTTTTCAAGATAGATTAAGTTAGTTTCAGGTTATAAAATGAGCACTACTTAACTTCTTTTTATAACTGTGGCATTATTTTAAGAGTATGGTTCACTCTGGACCCAGAGTAAGAGCCCACAGTGTGGTACAATTTATATTAAATCTACTCTTTTATTTATAATAAAGATGGTAGTTAAATTAATGCAATGCTTCTGGTACCGCTCTAACTGAGAACTATTGAGCCTATAGCTAATTTCATCTATAGCTAATTTCATCTCTTTCTAGCTGGAGAGGATGTTAGCTTTCAAAGCATATCTTCAGCAACATTAAAAAAAAATGCTTACCTATTTTAACCTGATGATTTCTGAACCTAAGAAGAACAAATCAGAAAGGCTTGCAAGCGATGAAAGGGCCAAATAGCATAGGTTTGTTAATTACATAACAGAATTTAAATATATACTTTGTAATGTAAATTACTTATCTGGTATGTAGAATTTTCCAGAGACACTCCAGGGTCCCATCATGAAGGAATTCTCACAATGACTCTAAGCTTTAGGGGACCATAGAGCCAGTGATGTGGTTACTGGTGAATAAGGACTACCTATGTATGTATAATGTAACTGGCAGAGTGGCATCCAAATGCTATTCAGAATCCCTCATGTACTCTTTCTAAAAATTATGTTGTCCTTTGTCTAGATCACTGCTAGATAAATGCCCCAGCAACCAAATACCATTCCTGTTCATCTTCAAAATATCTGCATATTCTTTACGCTCACAGAAGGAACCAGCCCATGAAGAAAACCTCTTAGTTTTGCTATGTAACAGCCATTTTTCCAACAAAACAGTACATTAAAATAAAAATGAAATTACTTAACATAATTTCCTGTCTGCTGAGGATCATAAAAATTATTAATTGATTTTAATATACTGATCACTAAAAGACCTGTTAACTTTAAGTTACTGTAAACATAAAATATGTACTGTGTCATGCCCAGCCCAACATCTCTATTGGCAGTACAATCTATAAGCCTGTGAGCCAGTATTTTAACGCAGTCACTGGGAGCATTAGATCCAGGTAAGTTTTCTCTGTTCAGCCCCAGCTTCTAATGCTGTACTTATGTATATGAAGTTACAGTAAGTTTAGATATTATGCCTGTTCTTGAGTTTCTCTCTCAAAAGTTTTGGTTTTACAACCTCACTTTTCTGAGTTGTTGAAATGTTTTATCTCCTGCTTTTTCTATGAAGGAAAAAAGAAAAAGAAGCAAATTCCACAACCCACAAAAGTACACAGAGGAAGGGGTACACACTAAAAACAGTAAAAAAAATAGAAATACATGTCCCACTATCAGAATTATTTTCCCCTAATCTAGTCATTACAGGTCTATGAATTACAAATGTCAACTTTATTGAGAGACTACTAGAAAAGCTGGTTTTAACTCTACTTTTTTTTTCTCAATTCAGATTACATTTTAGTAATTTTTTTTTCCATGGTGCAAGTTAGCATTACTCATTACATAACTCATTACATGTTAACATGAAGTAGATCATATGAACCTAAAAATTAATAAATGTCATTAAATGCTTTCTAACTTTTTTATATATGTAACTACATGGCCCATCCTATGGCCTTTGATGCAATTTCTACAGAAATCTACCAGTTATTTAGACTGACAGCAACAGGCCTTAAGACTCTAGCTTCACCCTCGTGTTCATGCTATTCTGTTTATCCAAAATATCCGATTTAAACAGGTTTTAAATATCCAATAGCAAGCTCATAAACTTGGATTTGCTATGCATATTACTTGCCAAAAAAAATGCGACATAAGTCAGGTCACGAACAGGTATGGGGAAAAAAGAATTTACAATTCATACAGGCAAAGCGCAAATGAAAGCTTCCAAGCCAAGTTAGTCAAACATTTCCAGGCGTAAAGTTTTCTTCTGGAAAATGCTGATACAATGAAATACAAAGTTCTGTTCCCCAGAAACATGCCAGTTCCATCGAAAGTTTTGAAGGAAATTAGACTTTGGAACCCATCTCAAGTGGAGCTTGTGAACTGGAACTCTAGCCACTAGCTCTGCAGGAGCTTCTCAAATGTGTTTCAGGCTTTACAACAGCAAAATACAAGTGTAGATCGTTCTCTCATCTTTCTGTTACTTCTTTTTCTTGATGATGCAGATGTTTGGACTGATTTTGCTTTGTTGAGAGAATAAGACCCAAAACTACAATATTTGATATTTTGTTTCTGAAAAAATAGGTAAACTAATTATATGAAATAAGCAGTAGATAAAAAAGGCTATTGTTCTTACCTATAAAAACACTGTTGTATCTTACCCTTCACTGCTACCTAAACAATCTTTAAATATGTATGGTTTAAGATTCAATTCTTATAATACAGCATTTTCTTGAATCCCAAACACCCCCCTCTGTGGTGTGAACAGACATGATCATACTTCAGAATCTCTGAAACATGCATATTCAGATATAGACTCATATTTATCAATTATTTATCCCAACCCTGCATTGCAACAATAATCATTATCCCTCAGGCTTAGCTGGTGTTGTGTGACAATGAACTGTTAATTGATGACAGTACAAAAGAAGTTTGAAATGATCTTGGGGAGCTGGATGAGAAACAATGCTTACTGCATTCTCTTTTGCTAGACACAGGTGTGTGACATTCATGAAGCTTCAGATTTATTGCCAGATTTTTGATATATGCAGACTTCAGTATCTCATTTCGGGTTGCAGCAAAGAGAAAATAAAAGAATCTTCAAGTAGAGAAATTATTACAAAAATAATGAGTCATCTGCACTTGACAGTACTCTATTGGTATAAATTGGTGCAGATCCATTACAGCAAATAAAACTGTGTCAATTTATATCAGCAAAAGATATGGCCCTGACTTTGAGAAGTAATAACAGGAACTGCCTGTGTGTGCCATTCCATATTTGCTGGGTTGAAAACTGACTTTTGATCCTGCATCCCACTTAGATCTCACAAATCAAATGTAGAGTACAGCAGCCGTAATTTCCTACCATAGATCACTTTGTGAAAGGTATGAGTCTTGGCTTCACTTTCTCTTAACTTCCCCAGAATAAAAGTTATTTTAAATCTTGCAACAGAGTAAGACCAGAACAATCTTCACTCTCTGCAGAAAGTTCATTGCTGAGAGAGAGTGCTAGAAGTTTCATGTTTATATGCAGGGGGAAAAAAGTTTGGTTTGTTTGGCCATAGAAGAGTTTAATTTTCTGAGGATCAATAACTTTGTTGGAAATCTATTAATCTTGTATCATTACAGAGTTGCACATACGCCCAATAATACGTATTTTTTCTTGCAATCAAGATGAAATCGCATTTCTGTTGTGAGGTAAGGTATTCTATAAGAGACAACTCCCTGCAAATTTTTTTTTTTAAATGGTGGGCATGTACCTAAAAAAAAGAAGATACATAGCCAGGCCAATATGCATGCAAAATAGATGTTACAGTAGCAGACTAGCTACTTTGCGTGTGCTTGAGAAGATCAGCCACTCGCTCCCGAACAGTCCATCCTGACCTCATATGTGCACAGCCAGGTTCTTGTCCCTCACCGAGAGCCATGAGGAGTCATGGTGCATGTTTGTGTGAGACGGCTCTACCTTGCAACTTCAGTTTACACCTCTGCCTCTAGTAATAGCAGGAGTAGAAGCTACGTTCTCCGCATCTCTGTGGAGAAATCAGCTGTCAGTTTTGGCCCTGTCCTTGCCTCCCCCTGTAGTGGGATTGCACAAAGCACAAGATTTTAGCCCATTCCAGCAGCCTGAAAGGTACAGGCTGATAAATAGAATGGCAGCAGGTGGCTGCACGGGGCAGGCTAGTGCAAGGCAGACAGAGATTATATAGTAGGGAAGAACCTGTGGGTCTTCAGACTTTCCACTGAAACACCCTGGTCCTTCCCAGGTCACGTTTGTTCCCCGACCCTTTCTTCCATGAACTTTCGAGTCTTCTGTTTCTCTTACCCTCATCTCTGCCTCCCTGAATCTGCTCTACCTTTCACTATTGTTGACACAACCAAGAACCCTTCAGTTTGCTCTGAGAAAACATAGTGAATCATGCCCCTTTGCTTATATAGATTAATTGTTTTGGGGATTTGGGGATTCATACTGTGAGTAAAAACCTTCAGGGAACATGTACGCTCTTATGTCCCTGGACTTACTACCAGGCCTTAAATAATTCAAATATTTTTCAGTAAAATAAGTTGCCAAAAGCTTTACTGTTTTATATTCAGTCATTTTAATAACAGAGCGCACCGATGCTTTGTATGTGGTAAACAAACAATCCAACTATCATAGACACTTACCTCAACCCAATAGTGCATGTGGATCACAGTGCAGGCAAAAAAACAAATAGAATACAACACATATTCAAGTTTTATTAGACATATCATTCTAAGCAAAGAGCACAGGAACATTATCCTACATGCCCATTATCTTACAGATCACATTAAACACAAAAACTTTAATGAATTTGTAAGCCATCACTCAATCCCCAGAAGTACAAGTAAGTGTAAATGCAAAAAAAAACCCAACAAAAATGCTTGGTAAGAACGCTCAGGCTTTTTCCAACTGTTTCTTGTTTCCTCTTGCATAACTGTGGATCATAAAAATAACATGCCTCAAATTCAATCACCCTTTACAGTGTGAGCAAGTACCAGCAATCTATAGTGGACAGCCTCCAGCTGCAGAAACTGTTAAAACCTAGCCCTCTACCGTAAAGATCCAGATTCTCATCTGCATTATAATACATAGTGCAAAAATACCTTGAAGCAGACACAAAATTAATTCACACTCATTTTGATTATTCTCAAACCAAGAACTGAGTTTAATATGGCCTTAGTGAAAATAAAAATTTATTGTGATAAATATATTGTGCTATATTCCAAAATCCAAATATGGTCCTTTTTTAAAGGGTAAGAGGAGCCTTAAATCAGCTGCCAATTCGTTCCCCACAAAAATATTAATTTTGACTAAAAGAACTCTGCATCACTGCTTTTGCTTTTGGTCTTTAACTTTTTGTATTTATCAGACCTGAAAGTGTGCGTTTCCTGAAGGACAAGATGTGGTAAGTCTTCCACTTTCTGATATTTATGGAAGATCTCTAAGTAGCAATATATTTCTTTGCTTTGACTTTCTCTGCTTATCAAAACATTTGACATAGATGGAAACCCATTCTTTAGTCTCATATATGTTGGAAAATGGGTGGAAATGGAAAAGCAATCCGGAGCGCATAGAAAAGACCAAGAGCCAAGAACTGCAAAAGTGAATTCTTACCAAAAAAAATGGGAAACTGGTTACGCTCCTCCTCTGGGGAACTACTGTTCAGAGTGTTGGGCTTCTCATTTGGAGCAGTTGGCAACAAATTGACTACAAGGAAAAAAAGGGGTGAAACAGTAAGTGATGGGTTATCTAGGCACAGCAAAGCTCTGAAAATAAAGTGATTGGTACCCATTTGCCTTGCTCCATACCAGTATTAAAGAAATGCTGTGTTTTAGTGGTATTAAGTCCCAAAGGCATAGCAGACTGATGTGCTGAGGCAACTTTGGGATGGATTCCTTTTTCTTCTTTAATTTTACTGATGTAAGATTTAAATCAAACATGATTTAGTAAGGTTATTTTTATATTACTAGCAGACATTCTAACCATTGCAATTGTAAACCTTTTTCAAAATAGGTATTACTGACAACAAAATGGCTATGAAGCTAGTTTTAATGTTACTGAATTCACTGTGCTTATGCATTTCAACTAACATACATATCTTCAAATAAACAGGAAAATGAGTGGACAAGCCTAGAAGTGTCTGCATTAAAAAAAGATAACTATAAACAGCAAAAGCAAATTTTTACCAAAAATCCCAGGAAACTGGTTGGGTTCTTCCTCTGGGGAACTACTGTTCGCAGTGTTAGGGTGCTCTTCAGCTGGAACAATTGGCAATAAATTTGCTAAAAGAAAAATGAAAGGAAAACAATGAGGAAAAACATACAAAACCCAATTGGTATCAGTGATTCAATATGGCTAAGATAAAAATTTTGATCTATTTAAACCTCTGCAATGGCCCCTAATCCTCTCTTTCTTCTTGGGTATTCATACAAATTTACATGGAGGTGTTATTTCAAATTAAAGTCAGAAAAAAAACCCCAACTTTCTGCAACTTTTAGTCCAGTAGGTAAAAGTGGAATCAGAGCCCAGGAAGAAATGCTTCAGCAAATGTAGGGGAAAAGCACATGGCTCTATATGTATATCTTAAAAAAAAAAAAAAAATCTTTAAAAAGAACCATAGTGGGTCTTCCCTTTTCTAAATGTGAATAAGCTCAAGTTCCCCTTGCCAAAATGACAGATTATGAAACAGTCCTGGAAAAAAGCCCGCTAGAGACAAGCAAGACAAAAGGGTCTGGAGGCTCTGGGTGGGAAAATGCATTCATCCTATGAATAAAATGAAGTACTTTGTGAAGGGCAGAGGAGTTATGAAGGTTACTATATTCTGATACAGAACAATTTATAGGAACTAGTAGGATGAGGAAGTGGATGAATGATCTATGGTCAGTCTGAATGGCTGTTTTGTAGCCTAAGCTGCACAGCCAAATCATTCAGAAGTGAGGGACAGGTTTCCCATAATTCTTTGGTGGGAAGCTAGCAATGCACAACAGAAAACAGTAAAACCAGCAATTCCTGTATTGGCACCTGTTTTCATTACAAGACTTGGTCTGAAAAGAGTATATTCAGATGTTCGGGTTAAAAAAAATATATTAACATTTTATGATATTATAAAGCCAAGCAGCTGGCAGGTTTTAGATTACAGAAAAAGACTTACATGGCTGTAACCAGAATAGGTCCGTTTCTTCATTCCCTGTCATTTCAATCTCTATTGCTGTAAACTCTCTGCTTTCTTCAATGTAGGTACCAATATTTTTACAATATATTTCAAACCAAATTTCCCCAAATTTCTGTCCTAGAAAGTGTGTTTATAAAATTTTTCCCCTATGTCCTGGTTTCAGCTGGGATAGAGTTAGTTTTCTTCCTAGTAGCAGGCATAGTGCTGTGGTTTGGATTTGGTAAGAGAAGAATGTTGATAACACGCTGATGTTTTTAGTTGTTGCTAAGTACTGCTCATGCTAGTCAAGGACTTTTCAGCTTCCCATGCTCTGCCAGGGGCACAAGAAACTGGGAGGGGGCACAGCCAGAATAGTTGATCCAAACTGCCCAAAGGGCTATTCCATACCGTATGACGTCATGCTCAGTATATAAACTGGGGGAGTTGGCCAGGGAGCAGCGATCGCTGCTGGGGAACTGTCTGGGTATCGGTCGGTGGGTGGTGAGCAATTACATTGTGCCTCACTTGCTGTGGATATTATTATTGTTATTATCATTATTATACTGTTGTTATTAGCATTACAATTTTACTTTATTTCAATTATTAAACTGTTCTAATCTCAACCCAGGAGTGTTTCTCTCTTACTCCTCCGATTCTCTCCCCCGTCCCATCGGGGTAGGGGGAGTGAGCGAGTGGCTGCGTGGTGCTGAGTTGCTGGCTGGGGCTAAACCACGACACCCTAATGGCAAAGTTTAATGGAGAAATGTGATGCTCTAATGCCAAAATACAGCCAGGAAACAGTAGTCATTGTGGACCAAATCCCCTCTTCAGTTGAAATTGATGTTAATTACTTCATCCATCTGTATTTCTTTTAAAATTCTGTTTCAAATTATAGACCAAACACTATTTGTTTCAACTTAGATATATTAAATAGTATGCAGATTTCTGAAAATTAATACTGTGTTCTTTCTTACACACACAGGTTTAATATGTATTTTGCAGGGGGTTGTAGAATTAACATATACAGGCAACTAAGTGTCATGAGAAAAGTAAAAAAGTAGGAGTCCTGTAATATTCATTAAAGTACCTATCAGGTTTTTTTCATTTATATTTTTCATTTTAGTATTTTTATGTAAAAATATCTGTAATTAATGTTAATTTCAGGTATAAATTATCGCCATCTCACGGTGCCCTAAGTTGCCTTTTTTCCATGCAAGATACCTTCAAAACACAACCTTGTTTATACAATAATAAAACTAAGAATAACGAGGACAACAACTTACAGTTGCCTTGGCAGGTAGTCTGGCATTCTTCCAAATTCTTGAAGTTGTTCTGGTTTCCTAGGCACCCACCATACTTGAATACTTCACATATCTTTGTCTCTTTGTTATAGAAATACCTGGAAAAATAGCCTCGGCAGATTCCAGGGTCTTTGTCATGAAAGCAGAAGTTGGGCTTTTCTACGAACAATGGCAGATGAACAGGGTGGGGGAAGAAAAAAAAAATCAACACACATTCCAAGACAACAATAGAACTGGAGAAAATTTATAAAATAAACCTATAACTTAGGACTAAAGACCAACTGTAAAATAACTGCTGCTTTATTGTACTGCTCTTGTTCTATATATAACAGAGCATTACAGAGCAATATTACACTGGAGCATTATAGGGACATTTTTATTGCTTTTTTCCCCTCTTTTCAAGAAGCCAGTACATTATGTCTTGGAAAATGAGGACTAATGATTCCTTTAAGTGTCCTCCTACATTGAAGCTCTAAGAAGAAAATCAGTTTTTACTCTGAATTAAAACAAGATTTGAATCTCAGCTGGATCATTTGAATCTAAGTACACATTCTTGTCATTTATGCAGTCATTTTAGCGTGAATTACACAGAAAGCACTGTTAAAATAAAAGGAAAGAGGAAATAGTTTTAAAAAAAGAACAGAAAAAGATCTAACAATGCATTTTGTCTGGGACAGTCTACTGCTATAAAAGGATACAGGAAACTGGGAGACAGAGCAGCTATTCCAACTCGTTTTTCAGTCCCAGTTCCTAGCTTGCAATCAGTAACTATAATATCAACCAAGAAAAAGTTAACAAATGAATACTGTGTAATTTGACTGAATATCAAGGCATGATATCATGGCTTCTGGCAGGGAAGAAAAGCACATAGCCATACAATAATCCCCAAATGTCAATTTCTCACCATATTCAATTTTTTTCTCAAAATCATATTCTTAAAAGAAAATCGTGGAAACAATAATGAAATGTAGAGGTATTGTCAAATTCTTGCTAGTAGATACTTTGAAATATGATTCTTGACTGAGCTGACTTGCAGAGAAAACTGTATCTAGCCATCTTATAAGACAATCTTATCAGATGTGACATATAAAGGCCTTCCTTACCTGTGAAACTTAATATAATGAGACTAAAACAGTGTGCAGAGGGCTGCCATTTTAATAAAAATGACTATAGAACAATTGCTTTGAAATCCCTAATATTTTTGGAGTAGGTGATGGAGTTGTAAAGAAGTCAATCCTATTAAATCTATTTTAGCCAAGTATCTATTAAAAAATCATTGCTAGAACAAGAATATTATTAAACTCAATTGATGCACATCATATATTTATATAAAACATTGTACTAGCTCATAATTAGTATTTTTTCCAAGAAATAATTGTCAATATCTTGTATTTCAAGTGTTATAAATCTTCATGAACAGCAAAATGACATTTTCAGAGATCACATGTAAAATTAAACCATTAAAATGTTCTTGCATAAAGTAACAAAATCAACTATTTTAAGCAGTCCTGGAGAGCTTAATTTCAGTTCTTCACTACAAATTGCATTCTCTGCCAGTAAGTATATATATTCTACAGTTCTATTTCACGTTTCATACTATTCAGATGTAGCATCTATTGGTGTTCACAGATTTACAAAACTAAATTCACATAGACCAACAACCATGAAAGGTATGGGCAAAACATATGATATGCTTTCAGCTGAGAACAGAAATGAGACAGTTATGTAGACAGGTAGCAGGCAAGAATCTAACAGAGTGGTATCTATTCCATATACCACCTATTAGGAACTCACAGATAATAGGAGCTACAGGAGCAATTCTTTCATCAAACATTGCATAATACTGGGAAATAACAGAAAAAGAATATTAGGTAGATATTAACTAAGAAAGGAAGGCAGATAATAATAAGGGTATGTAAAGTAGACTACAGGATTATGACTGATTCTTAAAACCAGCTGCTCTTCATTTAGAAACTCCTTATATTAAAATGGTTCTTGCAGAAAAAGGAAATTAAATCCAAATAAGTTGAGCTCACAGCTAACTTTTATAGCCACTTCTGAAGAAAGAGGTCATGAAGGCAATATAAACCTAACTATACAAACAAGTATTATACTTCTAAATGCCATAACTTTCTCCAGAGACTCAATATTCAAGACTACATTACTGGAAACAATAGTAAACATGTAATGATGTTGATGATAGCCACAAGCTGAATTTAATAGGATATGTTCTGTTTTGTCATTAAAAGCAGGGAACTAGGGTCAGACCTTAAAGGAAGTAGTGCCAAACGTCTGCAGCATCTGTGGAAAATCAACTTTAGTAACTTCCATAGCATAGAATCATGATTTTTTTTATGCGTTAAGAATAGAAAAGACAGTAAACAACAGGAAAAGAAAACCATCATCTCAGTATGAAAATATTCCAGAATACCATTCTGCAAAGATAAAAGTTTTAATTAGCCTATTTCAAAATGTATGTGCAAAAATTGATATTTCTGTGAGGAGTTAAATGCACACCGATTCAAGAGGAAGCAAGTGGAAGGAGGGATAAGGGAAGGTTAACAGAGAAAGAGGAGCTGACTTGTGAAGAAATTTACTCTTCTGTGTTCAGGGAACTCAGGCTACAAGCATCAGGCCCAATCCAGATAAGTCTTTAATGTGGAAAGAGGGGGTGGGGGTGGAATAAGTCTTCACAAGCTCTGTTGTAAGTGTCAAACTTAAATATTCTTGTTAGGAACATAGGTTACCTCAATAGGCCAACAGTGTTTTAGACAAACGATTCTCAGTGCTTAAGCACTGGCTATTTAGGAAGTCTGGGTATGAGGCAGAATTTCTGTAGATTCCTGTTAAATTTCTGTAAACAGTCTGCCCCTTCAGGAGTGGGAAATTTGCTCCCTTGCTTAATGAGTAATTAAAGGAACTCCCCTACCCTCTGTTAGCTCCTACACAGGCAATGCTTGAAAATTTCTCTTTCAGAGTGTTTTTTTCCTGTTTTTGCTAACAGTGGAGGAAGCATTTAGATTATTCTCAAAACACACAATAAGAGTTCCACATCATGGCTAATTATATAATGCTTGAATCTCTTCAGAGTCCTTCATTTCTCTTTATTGAAGAAAGAGAAAAGAAGTGTCATGATGTGTTTATTTTGGGGAGAAGAGATTGCAGCTACTATCTTCAGTGACCACAAATGTCCTCAAAGTCTTCGATAAATACAGAAGAAGATTGGGAATAAGAACTCACTTCAGTCTGATGTTCTTGTTTTTATTAGGAGATAGCTTGGAACAATACATAAGGAATTTATCAAAGGAAGCTAAATCCCTTATTGCTGTGTAAGAGTCTTAGACTACTGTGTAAACATAATTACCTTTCTTAATTCTTGTTAACATCATCTTCCAAGGCAATTCTGCAATATAAATAAAAAGAAAAGTATTTAGCAAAAGCAGATGTGTTAACTCTCACCTGTGATACCAGGCTGCTTAGCAGTGACTATGAGCACTGAGGAGGAAGAATACAGCATCTCTTCCCCTTCTTTCTTCTCTTCATTGGAGAAGTGGCACAAAAGCTTGTTCGGGAGGACTGAAGTATCATTTCCCTTGTATGAGAAGACCCGCTATACTGGAAACTTAGGGATATGGAAAGTACTGGAATCAAATTATACCAATATTGAATAGAACAGAGAAATTCCTCTTTGTGTTACTGGAACAAGAATCCTGTATTACGTAATCTTAGTCCTCAAAAGAGGAGTAATTAGCAGACCTAACCCAACTGCTGTAGCTGATACAGCTAATAGCTTCGGAGCTGATCTAGTTAGCAAAGACCTCTCTCATGCTAATTCCTTTGCTACGCTATGTAGTGTCTGAGTAAAGTGTTCATTATGTCATTTATGATATTAAAGCCCTTTCAGCCAAGTAATCTCCAACTATGTTTAGGGTAGTACAGATGACAAACTTCTTTGCACTGTTCTTTTAGTGCCTGATCAGCAGTGATGAAGTTGCTATTGTCATTTTTAATGGAGGAGCCTGGCTTTCATTGTACTTACTCAAGAAGCTGGATATCTGACTTCAATCCTGCATACCTTTCCAGTGACTGAAAACAAACCTTCATCCCCTTCTAGGAGACTGCCTAATCATAAAACTACAAAGGAGTCCAAAGGGAGACTGGCTTAGCCAATATGTAATAAAGGCTGAAAAGTTTTCGTCAGCTGAGAGAAAGAAAAGTGGCCATGTATAGCTAATATATTTTTTTATTTTGGAGATGTTTTCCAAGACACATGAAATAGTAGCTTCTGGACTTTACGTAAGTCATCTTAATTGCACTGCTTCATAATTCTTCTTTTGTACTTGTGCTTTTCTTAATGGCATTATAAAATGCTAGTTTCTCCAAAACTCTCCTTTGCCTACTGACCTCTTGCATCTGAGAGAAGGGATAGAGTGGTACAGCTAATGCTTTGCAGATGACACCAAACTGGGTGGGAGTGTTGATCTGC